AAAAAAAAAATACAAAGGATTTAAGGGGTGGAGAGATGGCTCAGAGGATAAGAGCACTTTGGTGCCCTTTAAGACACAGGTTCACCTCCCAGCATCAACATAGTGACTCACAACTGTCTGAAACTCCATTTACAGGGGATCTTCTGCCCTCCTGTGGCCTCTGTGGTCATGTCATGAATGTGGTACACAGACATACATGTAGGTAAAATGTTGATACACGTAAAAATACACTTTAAATAGTGCTCGATCTGTTTAACATTGGAAGTAAAACAGTGAAATAATGTTTTAACATGTCAAAAATACCTGAAAATGCTTTTTTTTTGTAAAGGGCTTGACTTATTCCAGAATGTTAATTCCTGCTTATGAAAGCAGGACTCGATGGCACACATCTGTAATCCTAGCACTTGGAAAGCTGAGGCATGAAAATTGCCCTAAGTTCAAGGACAGTTTGGGATGCATATTGAATATGGGGTCAGGCAGGTACTACATAGAAAGACCACATCTTAAAAACAAACAAAAGACACCAGTTAATAGGCAAGTAACAACATTCTCTGGAGCTAAAGGAAGATTCTCTCATGAATATTAAGAGACAAGGGCTGCCCCAAGATCAGATGTAAAACCCTTAAAGTGAGTCCAGTCTTTTGAGCAGAGCCCAACACTTCAGTCTGACAGGTAATACTCGATTATACTCCTGATCCTGATACTCGGGGATGTGGCAAAGCCCAAGCATCAGGGCATTGAACTCAGGCCCCCACACGTTAGGCTGTGAATCACCACCGAGGTACAGCAGTGTTGAAGTTACTCTTTCCAGATGCAGCAGTGCAACAAGCTGGTGCTCTGCAATTACTGCTCTATGACAAGTTACCTACTCCTCTTTTTTTTTTTGGGGGGGGGTGATAGGGGTCGTGTTTGAAACAGGATCTCTCTATATAGCCCTGGCTGGCCTCAAACTCATAGAGATCCACCCCATCTGTCTCCTGAGGTCTGAGATTAAAAGTGTGCAATTCCACACCTGCCTCAAGCTACCCAGGCTTTATGCAGTTTCCTAGTCTGAAGAATGGAACATCTCAGAGTGTTTGAAGAAGTTAAATTAACCCTTGGGCCATGGAGTTCTGTGAGCATCAGATTTAACACATCACTCAGCAGGTCTCTACAGCTCTGTTGTGATTCCATGGTACAGTGTGTGGGGTGTGCATGTGTGTGCATGCACATGTGTGGGTATGTGCATGCACGGGTGTGGGGCATGGACACACGTGTGTGGGCATGTGCATGCAGGGTGTGGGTCAAAGGACAAGTTGCAGGACCAGTTCTCGCCTCCCACATGTATCCTGGGGATTGCACTTGGGTCATGAACCTGGGCAGTACACACCCTTACTCACTGAGCCCTCCTGACAGCCCAAGTTTCTGAATCCTTTCTAAACACAAAAAAGGTGAGTCCTGGATATGACTGAGATGCAGGACATGAAAAGAGCTGAAATTACAACAGGGAAGAGAAAGGATCCCCCTGTTTCTCAGATCCTGGACTTTAATGTGTATTTGATACAATGAATTTCAGAATAAAAGAAAATACAATGTTTAGAATAATAACAGCCCAGCAGGGGGAAAGATGCTATGAGGATACATGGAAAGTACAGATAAATTTAGAGTTCCCAAACCAGAGCCACTTTTCTAAGTCTTTGTGTCTCAGACTGTTATAATTAGAGCTAGAACATGAATGCGCCATTCTTTAATCACCATGGAAATGATACGTGGCAAAGCAGCTTCAGCTCCACCTAGGGCAGCACTGCTTCACTTACAAAGACTTTCTGTTCTGTTTTAATTCAGAAAGAGCCAGTTTCCTGAAGTTCAACAGGGCATGTGACTACACACCACATGTGCTCAGTCTGGTGTGCTGCACAAAGAGGCCTGGGGTTTGTATTTAAATGTCTGCTCTCTACTGCAACACCAGTCATGCCTGTTTCTATTGTTACACAGGAGCCTCAGGTAACTAGCTTGGTACTTACATGTACCACATGTTGGGTACAATCCACACTGGAACATGGCCCCACACCAGCTGCTACCCAGACATACTGAGTTCTCCCACACATGCAGTGCAGGGAGAGAAATGGCTGCAACAGCTCTGTACATCAGTGAGAAGGGACAGTCAGAGGTGGGGAGAGTATGCAGCTCAGCACCTGAGCATACTCAAACTTACATTCCAAAGAGAGCTCCCCCAAGATGTGCTGCATGATCAAAAAATTTCCATCCCAGGATCATCCCAGCTGTATCCATAGCAATGATGGCTTTTAAGGCCTAGAAGCCAGGGAGAGAAAAGAGAAATGGGATGATTTTCCACCACCGAAATTTAAGGGCAAGATTTCAGTCACTGCCTGAACAAGGCTATGGCCAGAACTTCATTTGGGTACTTACATTGCCTGCTGTGAAGGTGAAGACCGGGAGGAAGATGATGGCGAGTCTCCCTTCTGGGATCTTGGTGCAGACTGCTGCAAGCACAGTCATGATTGCTCCTGACTGCAAGGTAATGAACACAGTGGTGAGGACAGCAATACCATGTAGCTCTGGGTAGGCCGATGCATGCACTCTACATCTGGAGGGGTGCTAGCACACATCTTTAAAACATCCCCCCATGAATGTGTGCAGTATCAGGGAAAGGGATGCAGCTGTCACACAACACTGCAAAAAATCCCTGGAAACAGACTACACTGTCACTATGCAGAACTCAAACATACCACAATGAGCATGTGAATTCTTAATAAGCTCCAAGGATAGCATTAAACATGCAGACACGGAAGGAAGACTGTCTAACAGCTCTCTAACTGGCTGGAATGAACTATGGGGCAGTTTTGTTTTGTTTTTACAATTTAAATTTATAGTGACTGTGAGGTATTTTTCTGGATTATACCAATTAAATAAACCTCTCTTAATGCTAATCATAATACTAATTCTTCTGAATGGTGGAATATCTCAAAAAAATCAATCATAATTCCTTGTTTACATTAGCTCTCCTGATACATATTCATTCAAATAATCCTAACATACTACATACTGGAGACACAGAGCAACAGTTCCCACCTTCATGGACCTTACAGCATAGCAAGAAAGACATCTTAGAAAAATAAGCAATTCTAAAATCAGAAAGGGAGGTGCTGTGTGTCAAGGCAGTACATGGAAAACCAGGCTCAGAGCAACCAGCTACCCCAAGCTCAGGTCCGATCCCAGCCAAGCAGAGGAAGAGACAGAAGAGCATCCTGGAGAACAGCACAGAGAACCAAGGCTAGAAGTGAGCTGCACAGCTTGGCAGAGGACTACAGAGAATCCGAGTGTGAAGTGCAGAGAACAGGGTAAAAACACAGCATGGCAGGCACTTAAACTTCCTTTTCTAACACAGGTCACAGCAGACACAGTACTGTCTATTAAAGGAACAATGTATTGAGAACAAATCTTAGTTGTCTATTAAAAATAATAAAATCTCCACTGAGGGACACGACAAAGTACTTCCCTGTCATTATTCTCAAGTATTGGGTCAAAGAGACAAATTGTGACAGTCTGTAGGAGTCTGCAGTGTAACATCCCAGCACACAAAAGACAGAGTGGAAAACATCAACTATGTCCAAGAGCCAGCGGGGCTATGTCAGTGCTGACCCTAGCAGTGGTGAGGCGTGGTTACAGAAGACACAAGCTAGGAGGATAGACCTGTCTCCTTTGCAATAAGAATCATAGCGAAAACAGACTCCAGCTAAAGAAATCAACGAATACTATTCCCAGCTGAAGATATGCTAGGGGGAGGTTGGTGAACATGGTATTTACATATCTAAAACATCTTCTCATAGACTATACATTGATTTTAAAAGAAAATGTAGTATAGACGGTGGACAATATCTGAGACAGGGACCACAGATGGGGCAAACAGACACCATGTACTTGTAGTCCCGGTACCTGAGGACACCCAAGACATTCCCACCCAAGACAGACAAGCTGCCTGAATCTTGAGGAAAAAGACAAATCCACAATAGCCACCCTCTTTTGTTCAAAACCACTGGTGGCATAAAAAACAAAGATGACCTGTGGAAATGTAACGCTTTTAGAAGCCCCGAAAACCCTAACAACTAAATGCAATACATGAGCTTAGGGGGATCATCACTGGGAAAACTTCCAAAATTGGAATATGGATGATAAAGTTTAGTGCCGTAGCTATTTAATAACGGTGCTGTTTCTAGAAAGTATACACTGAAGTATCTAGAAACAAAGAGACACAATGTAAGAAAGCTGTCCTTGAGGATGGTAACTCAACACACTGAAGCACTTGACACTAAAGCCTGATGACCCGAATCTAGTCCCCAGAACCAAAAGCAGAAAAGAGAACCAACCCCCAAAAGCTGTCGTTGGACCTTCATATGCACACATGCACATGTTTCCAGGTGCACTGTGTCTGTCTCTCTTTTTACACATGCACATAGATGCACGCATGCTCGTGCTAGTGCTCGTTCTTTCTCTCTCTCTCTCTCTCTCTCTCTCTCTCTCTCTCTCTC